GAAGCGGCCATCACAGAATGTGAATGTTTTTGGTGTCTCTTGTTGCCTTGTACATGATCATCTGGATGATATCTTTCTTCCTCATACTTCGCTACTTCCTCATCTAGCTCCGCCTCCTCCTCTGGGTCAAGGCTCTCGTCCTCAGAGCTCCCGGGGCTTCCTGAACTACTTAATTGCAGAGCCTTTAGTTCTCGGACGGGGTATATACTAGTCCCTTTGTCCGGCCTCTCGACAGGCAAAGAATCTCTAGGCTCTTTAAAATACGCTCCCTTGTCAACAGACCTTCCGGGAGGGCCATTTTCCTTATTTGGGGCCCGTTTCTTTTTTCGTGCACCTAACCTCTCACTGCGTTCAGTTTCTGACATGCTATCCTGGACTTCCTCAAGAACATTTCGACTTTCCGCCACAACGGCCTGGCATGTTTTATACAACAAAACTATAAGTGCTCCCAGAATGATAACCAAGGCCTCAAAGCTACCTTTCCAAAGCGGAAACAGGTTCAAGCCAAAGTCCAGAAAAAACATACCTCTCTGAACGTCCTTACCTGCAGTTCTGAATCCTCCTTGAACTCAAGGGGTCTCCGATGGTGCTGATGATGGTTTGGTCGAATTCCCGGGTCTCAGCACCAGTTGTCCCGCGCTATCGTCTCGCCAGCAAGAACGATGCGGCACACTCAGGATCCTTCTGCAGAAAAGCTTTAATGCATCTTGAGAGGGAGAGCATAAGCTTACAGGGCGAAGACCCCGAATGTCGGAAACCCAGCCCTTATATAGGTTAGTAAGCCCGTCTTGGACGTGGCAACTCTTGATTGGTCGCAAACTCATCAGCCCATATCACGCCACGAGGTAGGCAGAGACTAGAAAGTGGAAAATTACTTCAGGCATGCGTACTGACTTATTTACTGCTCAGCATGAACCGGATGTGAGCGCCATCTTGTAATGGCGTCTGCAGGGACGGCAGGCGGCTCCCCACAACAGGGAGACCCTGTCTCAAAACACCAAAAAAGAAAAAAAGAAACCAAAGAAAATAAGACTGCTTTCACTGCTACACAAACACTAGCATTTCTAAACCCTGCCTGCGCTGCTGGTGATAAATATACCTCCCAGGAAAAGTGTCTCCTTGGTCAAGTCAAAGAAGCAACTGTGATTATTACTGAGTTCCGATTTACTTATATTTGGGGGGGGGGGTTGGTATAGGGTCTCCCTATAGCCCCAGCTGGCATGGAACTCATGTGGACCAAAGATTTGCCTGCCTCTGCCTCCTGAGTGCTGAAATTAAAGGAGTGCACCACTATACCAGGCCCTGAGTTTTGTTTTAAATTAAAAGGCATACTTCCACTTTTACATGACCATAGCCGCAAACAGTTTCTAGGACAAAAGCCTGATTCTAGGAGCCCCAACAAGCTATGTCTTGCAACTTGTCCCAAAAGGCCAACTGAAGACATAGGTACTGACAAAAAGCAGAGAAACAAGATTTCATGAATTTGGCCAAATTGGGAACAGATAAAAGGGGTCCATGGACCCCCCCCAGTACATTTTCAGAGTACCAACATGAGCTTTAGCCAAAGAACAAGATAGAGTTAGTTGGAGTTAGGCAAGTCAGTGACCAGTACTCTTATTCACTTGTGTGTTTGTGGTGTGTTGCTGGAAACTGACTGAACCCAGGGCCTCCTGTATCCTAAGGCAGCACTCTACCATTGAACTACGTATACAGCCCATGAAAATATTTCTGTTGAATGAAGAATGCTGTTACAATAACACTGGGCATCAGATATACTGGGAATCGCTACCTGCATTCTTCCATGCCTACTCCCTGTGGAATCTGCTATGTAGACCTGCTGACTCTGTCCTCTTAGACTGATCTCAGTGAATGTCCCCCTGCAAAGGAGGATGGATACATTGCCATGCTAATGGAATTTGAATTTCAGTCTTCCCAGGACAATATGCTTTTGTTATTTAACCTCCTGTGTTGGATAGCTTTGGTTGTCAACTTGACACACCTGGAAATGAGAGGGAGCCTCATTTCAGGAATTACCTCCATTGGACTGGCCTGTGGCCATGTCTGTGGGGCATTTCCTTGACTGTTGAGTGATGGGTGAGGGCCCAGCTCACTGTGGGTGTTGCCACCCCTGGGCAGGTGGTCCTGTACTGTATAAGAAAGCAGATTGAGCACAGGCTGGGGAGCAAGTCAGTAAGCAGTGTTCCTCCATGGCCTATGCTTCAGGTCCTGCCTCCAGGTTCCTGCCCTGAGTCCCTACCTTGGGCTCCCTGCTGAACTGTGACCTGGGAGATGTAAGCTGAATAAACCCTTTCCTCCACAAGTTGGTATTGGTCAGAGTGTTTCATCATAACAATTGAAAGCAAACTAGAGCACCTGCTAAGTGATGCACCCTGAGGGTGAGGTGTGAACAGGGCTGTGCTCCCCAGAGCTTGACCCATGGGTCCCCTTTCAGTGAGGCATTGTCACGGTGACTTACCCTTTGGGACCTCAGGCTCCTCACCTGAGAAATGGAGATTAGATGTCAGATGTACCACAGTTTCAGAATTGCTGTAAACATGTATGCCCACCCTGGAGAATTGCATGGTGGGAATTGCCTCACCCAGTCTCCTCCATTTTCCCATCTTTGAACTCTGGAAGTTCACATGCATCAACTTCAAATTCCAACTTTACAATTCATCAGCTCTGTAAACCTGCTATTGCTGAACGTCTCTTTTCTCATGTGAAAAATGGAGATAATGATCCTAAGTACTGGCCAAATATTGACCAAGATATTGAATGCAACGGCCTCACCTTATCTGACATCTCAGCGCCACACTTGTTCTCATCCTACACCTGTTCCATGAAAATTCATGTCAAGAATGTGTTGCTTTTGGTGAAATATCTTAACTCCTTAAAGTCATCAATTTATCAGTTTACAATGAAAACCTAAAGTGATTTAATATATAAGTGATTATCCTCCACTCATCTCACAGGATTTGATGCCTGATGATTATGAACTGTTGTTGTTCAGGACCAGTGATCTTGGAAAGAAACAGAACAGGCCAGTGATCTCACTCCCACTAAGCACCTGCTAGCCCAGGATTATCATCTTCATTCCCTGCATGCGGATCTATTTCACTTACAGTGGCTGATAATGATGAAAGCCCTGCCAGCCCTAAGTGGAGGGAGAGAAGGGACTTTCTGTAAAACTCAGTCCATTAATTTTTGATCAAAGACAAGCCCATAAATCCATCTCCCGTGCAAGGATTCATCACCAAGGCTTTCGAGTTCATCATGACATGAGGACCTGAAGGGGAAGGGATGTCTTTGATGCTTCTCTGACTCCTGGACTTTCTGCTTTTCAGACCCTGAGATGACACACTGCAAACACAAGGGATCTTAAAACATTTTTGTTACATTTATTTAGTGTGTGTGTGTGTGTATGTGTGTGTGTGTACCACAGTGTGCATGTGGAGGTCAGAGGACATCTTATGGAAGTAGGTTCTCTCCTTCCACCATATGGGTCCTAAGGATTGAACTTAGGCTTCTTAGGCTTGGTGGAAAATGCCTTTACCCACTAAGCCATCTCACTGACTGCACAGGGGACTTTTAATAGTATTTTACACAATGAAGATTATTTTTTTTTTTGAGATAGGGTCTCACATATCCCAGACTGGCCTCAAACTTGGTATGTAGCTGAAGATGACTTTGAACTCCTCATCTTTCTGCTTCTACCTCCCAAGTACTGGGATTGCAGATGCATACCACTATGTTCAGTCTTTCATGGTTCTGGGGATCCAGCCTAAGGTCTCATTGCAGGCCAACCAAGTATTCTAACAACTGGGCTGCTTCCCCAGTCCGTAAGAAGTAATTTGTCTTTAACAGGTAAATGGATTGGGATGTGTAGCTGTCTACTTCCAACCCCAGCAGTAGTCTTAGACCAGCTAGCTATCCAGAACCTTTTTGGTCCCTGTAGATGGGGTTACCTTCTCAAGAAAAAATCTTAGTTCCTTGTTAATGGAGGTTGCTTGCTTCACCTGGCTTGTCCCTTACTCCCTGGTGTGGTCCCAAGACCAGCACCGAAGACATCACTAGGAAGCTACTCAGGAACGTGAGGTGTTGGGTTTCTTCAGTACATAAAATGTTCCTTCCCCCTCCAAATGCATATGTTAAATCTTAACCCCCAATGTGACAGTACTTCTAAGTGGGGCCTTTAAAAGGTGATGAGATCATGAGGGTAGAGCTCTAATCTGGGATTGGTGCCCTTATAAAAGAGCTCCCAGAGAGCTTGCTTACCTCTTCCACTAAACAAAAACAGCAAAATATTCTCTGAACCAGTGTGGAGATCAGGCTGTGTCCTTCTCTAAGTGACTCCATATTGTATACAACAGTGCCTTTCAGGCTCTGCCTTGCCCGGGTAACTCTATTTTACAAAGAATATTTGGCTCCATTTTGAGTATGAAGGCAGAGGCAGAATGACTCTGCACCTCATTATACATGTAGATACCCCCATCTGTCCAGCACTACTCACAAGGCACAGATTGATGAATAACTTATTCATAAAAGTCAAAATTACATTGGGACCATATGAGTGCACAAGCATATTAAACTACATCAGAAAAATCATACTAGAAAACGTATTGATCACATCAGTCAAGGGTGCAACAACCTAGACCTCATAAAAAGGAGGCGATGGTCCTCACTGACCTGTCATCTAACTGCTTACTGTAGGATGGAAAGGATGAACAGGTGGAGAACTTCCAACTATTCCCAAGGCTTCAGCACTGCTTGGCCACCACTGCTGATGTTGTCTATGTGAATTGCCATTTGTCCACCCAGCTGTTCGTTTGTCCATCTAGACCCATTCCTGACCCTCACCTCCACAGTCCTGGAGTCCTGCACCTCACCTCTATGACTACTATAAGGAGTGGAAATAAAATGCTGGCATGACTCCCTGCGAGATGTAATTGAGATACATATTTAAATTTTATGAACATTAGAATGACAAGGGAACACTATAAATTCTACACATAATAGTCAATAATTCAGAACATGAATCAATTTCATCAAAAAATCATAAACTACCAAATTTTACCCAATATGAAACAGATCATTTGAACAGTCTCATGATTATTAAAGAAAATGAAGCCGAGTACAATGGTGCACACCTGTAGTCCCAACACTTGGGAAGTCAAGGCCAGCCTGGGCTATAAGAATTCCCATCTCAAACAAACAAACAAACAAACAAACAAACAAAAAACCCCTGTGAACTTGTAATTTTAAAAACACTTAAGAAATCTTCAGGCCTTTGGTGATTTCACAGGTTTTTCTAGAGATGCAAGACTGATTCAATGCTTGAAAAGCAGTGTTGTCTACTATATTAATAGGTTATGAAGAAAAACTCACATGATCATATTAACTGATCACAAAAATATGTGACAGAATCCAACACCCATTCATAAGATTCTTGGAAAAATAACAACAGGAAGGAACTACTTGCTCAACTTGATAAGGAACATCTACAAACAATCCCCGCTCCCCAACCCTTACAATTAATACAGCTAATAATAGCACAAAAGACTGAACATTTTCCCCAGAAGCCTCTGTCACCATTCTT